GTGGCTCGTACGGATTATAGAGGTGGCTCCCACAATAGTGTAGCACTTATCTCCGCACAGCACAAAACAGAACAGATGCATGGACTCAAGAGGTGGGTCGTACGAACTCTAGAGGTGGCTCCCACAATAGTGTAGCACTTAGCTCCATACAGCACTTTGCTCCACACCAGAAATCAGAGGGTCAATAGATCCATAATAACAGAGGGCAACAAAGTGACCAAACAGAAACCAATGATTATTTAAGTCTCCCAAGGCGTGGGACTCCCGTGGTAGTACTTACAAAACATAATTGTTTATAAGATTATAGTGAAATATTCTTTAAAATATAAACAAACATATCCATGGGTTTCATTTTAACAAATAGGGTTCAGAAAATAATCCACGTAATTGAAATATTAATATAATTTATAATAGTTTATAAACATAACTTGTATAAAATAAATATGATAAGTCAAAACATACGTAAAATATATTATGGTGACTCAAGGTATAATCTAATTCACTTTAACTTGAATGTTTCACTCTTTCTTTCTACTATAAAAAATCTTCTCAGCTTCCATTATTTTTTTTCTTCCTTTTCTTCATTTCTTTCCCTTCTCCTTCCCCTCTTCTTTCTTTCCTTTATTTTCTTTCCCCAAGTGAATCACCTCCTCCCTATTTATAAGGAGGGAAGCATATACGTGGCACGTGCGAATCTTCCTCAGATTCAATTAATAAATTATATAGATTTATTCTTATCCTTAATAAATATTTAAGATAATTACATTTTGACCCAGTTTTTTTAATATAACTATATAAACAAATTAATCCCTAATTAAATTACACTTTATCGTATACTAACAGAAAATTAATTCTTTAATTTACTACCACATCCATTATTATTATTATTATTATTATTATTATTATTATTATTATTATTATTATTATAAAATAATCACTGAGTTGATTAAATTTACAATTTTTTTTTCTAAAAAACATAATAAATGCTGATCATGTGTACATTCTTTTATTAATAAAAATGTTAACAATTATAATCAATTGGACTAAATTGAGTCAATTGATATTATAGGGACCAAAATAAAACGATGACCAAAATGTAAGGATCATTGCTGTAATTTACACATTTTATTTACACAAAAAAATTACTTAGAAAAGAAAATTATGAATTTGACTCAAATCTCATCAATTTTTAATCTATATTATACACCTCACTTTCAAAATAATTTTTGCGTTACAAATTCTAGGTATATAGCATTTTTTTCAATCAAATGTGTAGTTTCTTGTAAATGAATGTCAACTGCAAAGACGACATATTCCACCCTATGAGATAATGACCAAACATAAGGGGTAGTTTGATAACCTCATTCATAAAATTAAATATATTAAGTGGTAATTAATTAAATTCATTTGATAACTATAATTGATATCACTTAAAAAAATAAGTGTCTCTTAAAATGAAGGCTGAAATTTAAGAAAATTTTAAGTCATATAAAACTCACTTAATTCTGACTAAATTTATAACTATTATGCATATGTATCGATATACATTATTATAAACTCATTACCACTACTACCACCACAACATCACTATCATGTCACTGCCACTACAACCGCTACCACCACTACCACCATTGATATCCCCGCCGCCGCGCGCCGGCGCCATGTCACAACCACCACTACTACTAATGCTTCCGTTACCACACCACCACCATGCCACATCCACCACTACCACCACCACCACCACCGCTACTACTACCATGCCACAATTACTACTACCACTACCACTACCACTATCATGCCACCACCACTACTGTCACCACCACCACCACCACCACCACTTTCACCACAATTGTCATTATTGTCATAAGCAACACCATTATTTTACTACTACTATCATCGCTACCGACATTACCACCATACCACCACCGTCGCTACCATCATCAACGCTACCGCTACAAGCACCACCACTACTATCACCACTATCATAATATAAAAATTGAGATATATAATTTCAAAATAATAAATTTTAAATTTGAACTTATATATATTAAACAATTTATTTTTAGTTCCGCATTTAATTTATTAAATTTTTTTTCAACTTAAAAAATTTAACATTTAATTTTCAATACTTAATTTTCAATTTTCAATTTTATCAAATACCACCAAATTCATGTGCTTAATTCAATTCCGTCTAACTCATTGTGATTGAGGCAAACAAGCTATTATCGTAATTGGCCACTTTTGGACCAATACCTATGGTTTACTTGTATTACTAATTGTAGATACATTATAAGGTTTACTTTCCAGGGTTAGGCACAAAAGACCTTGCCATGGGGAGGTTTCCCATCATTAACATGTATTATTACTATTATAAGGTTTACTTTCTAGGGTAAGGCACAAAAGACGTTGCCATAGGGAGGTTGTGTGCGTGTGTGTGTGTGTGTGATAACATCTAATTTATTTAATTAAAAAATTTATTGGGCAATCACACAATTTCTTTATTTTCCTAGAAATCACATATATCTATTTTTATATTCTATTATATAAAGCATGCAATTCATTTGGTGGGGAATAAGCACATGTCATATATTTTCTAATGTTCGAATTGTCCTTATTTAGTTCAAGTTTCTCATATGAAATTTTAATTTTTTTCTCCATCTACATTCATTTTTTTTTTTTTTTTTTTTTTTTTTTTTTTTTTTTATGTTTTATTTTTTTCCCCGATGACAATTAAGACCATCATCTATTTTTGCACACACATCACTTGTGTGCTCAATTTCTGTTATCTATATATGCACTAAATTTCGGAAACATGCAATGCGTGTGAGTATTGATGTAGTTGGCATATGAGAAAGTCCGAATTTTTTATGGGACATGAGACTCTTTTTTAGTAACTGAGAATTAGAGATTATATTGTTGGTACATTGGAGGGGAAGGTTAAATCCATTACCTCATAGTGATTATTAAATTTGTAATCCAAATTTACTCTTATTAACTGAGACAGTGATTTTAAATGATATGGCGGATATCTAGATCCAAATTCCTATTTTAAAATTATTTTTATTATTATTCAATTTTTATTTAAGTGGGAACTGTTAAATTTGTACTTGTACTAGTTTTTTTTTTTTTTTTTTTTTATCGGTAAATGTTAGTTGTTAATTATTAGATTGGCATTTATGAGAAAAAATTTCTCCACTCTTAGCAAAACACCTAAATATTTATACTCCCTTAATTCAACACCACTAAGAGAAATTGAACCCGTAATCTCCTTAAAAACTAAAGCTTAAGTACGGTATGATGACCAAACTATATCTTAAGTAAGGTATGATATAGGTTAGGCGTAGCTGGTTTACTTGTCCTTAAAGTTGTAGCATGGCCTTATATAAAAGCTTTCAAGATTCATTTTGTGGGGTCCTGATAATGATACAACTCAAAGCATGGATGGACTCACTTTTAGATAAGCACGATGGGATACCCAACTCAAAAAAAAAATTAAAATTAAAATTACGGTCACAATTTTAGGTTAGGGTTTAATTTTTTTATTTATTTTTTATCAGTAAAAAAAATTTTATTGATAAAAATAATATACAAAATATGGAATTACATCAATAAAGATGAGGTAAGAGCAAAAAGCATCAAAGTGAACTTTTCAAATCCCAACTAGATTGGCACTATCGTAAAATTAATTTTACGATTTAATTTTATCGTAAAATTTAAGAAAAATTACTTATTATGGCCATTTTTTTAAAAATTTAAATTTATAATTCTTGTAACTATTGCTAGATTATGATAAAATCATCCAATCATAACCGTGTATGTGTAAAATATAGTAAAGGAATATAATTTAATTGGGAGGTCTTGGCATATATGAAAGAGCATTATTCATGCCGACACTTTGGCCATTCACAGGAAATTGTGGGCCCATTGCATAACTATGGATCATGAAATCAAATATTTTTAATTTTTTCAGAACACTGATTTTGAAAATCAAACTAAATTTTTTTTATTATTATTAACAGAGAAATTATATTTTTTTCTAATGCATTATTTTGAAATAAATAACCTAATTTGCCCAATTCTGGGGCAACTTAGCATCTACATTTTTAAAAATCGGTAATGTTACATATAAATAGATTTTTTTGTTATTAGACACGAAAAGGGAGACTTACATGTATGTCATAATAAGTAAATTTATTATTTAATAGATTTTATAATAATTAATGGTGCTTTTCATCAAACATTATTAACAAGAAGTCACTAATTGTTAATTTTCAACGACAATTTAAAAACTGTCACAAAAAATGTCACAAATTATAAGTTTTAGTGACAGTTTAAAAAATAATCACAAAAAAAATCACTAATTTTTAACTTTCAGAGACAATTTAAAAAATTCGTTACTTGTAAGTCTTAGTGACAATTTATAAAAACCGTGACAAAACAAACTCACTAATTGTCAATTTGCAGCCATAGATGTAAAAAATATCACAAAAAATTATTTTTAACTACGATTTTATTAGACTTCTTTTCAATAAGACTTTATGAAAATTAAGTCTAACTATTAGAATTTATTAGTAGTTTACCTAAAAAGAGTAATAGATCCACATCTATTTCATATAGCGTACACACACCATAAATACTTCACTTCTTTTTTTTCATTTCAAGAATTTCTGTAACTATATAACATTCAATAAATGTTGAATGATTTTTTTCATTTACCAACCTGTCTAAAACTGTTAAACAGTTTTCTCATTCATCAAATCAATCCTAAATTATTAAACCATCCAAAAATTTAAATGTAAAATTGTAAATTCATGCATCAATGAATCTCTTTTCTGTTTCTTTCCCTAAAAATAGAAATAAAATACAAATGCACCGCATTTACACTTTTCGAGTTAATAAATATACCTGGAACTTATTATCTTTGCGTCTGATGATAACAAAAATTGATTATAAATATGTATAGATTTATGTCCTTCACGATCGAGATGGAAGACACGTTATCTTTTCATAGGTTTAAAGGTTCAACAGATGTTCAATTTTTGACAAGAGAACTACATATGACTTTGTAACAATATCCAATGAAAGAACACGATACCTAACTGTCATTGCAAGAAAAGACAAAAATGAGCAGGTTAAATCAGATTAACCCCTCTCAAAGCACAGTATACAAAGCATGCAACAGTCCCATATCCAGTTTAAGTTTGTTATGGAAAAAAGAAACTGGTATATGAATTGTTTCAGGGAGAAAAATAGCAAAAAGATGGATAACAAGAGGACCACAGGCATAGCTAAAAGATGGAGGCTTCTCAGTGGTGAGGATAACTGGAAGGGCTTGTTAGATCCTCTAGACATCGATCTTCGACGGTACATCATTCATTATGGAGAAATGGCTCAAGTAACTTATGACAACTTTATCTCTGAGAAACTATCAAAATATGCAGGAAGCAGTCGGTATGCAAAGAAGGGTCTCTTTGCCAATGTGGGCATAGAGCAAGGGAATCCATTCAAGTATCGCGTGACCAAGTACTTGTACGCAACATCATCAATCCCGCAACCCGACGCATTTATATTGAAGTCTTTGTCGAGGGAAGCATGGAGCAAGGAATCGAATTGGATGGGGTATGTCGCGGTGGCCACAGATGAAGGGAAGGCTGCTCTAGGGAGGAGAGATATTGTGATTGCTTGGAGAGGCACCATCCAGGCCTTGGAATGGGTTAATGACTTGGAATTTGTTTTGGTCTCTGCTTCAAAAATATTTGGAGAAAAACATGATCCTAATGTGCATCAGGGTTGGTACTCCATCTACACTTCAGATGATCCAAGATCGCCATTCAATAAGGCCAGTGCCAGAGACCAGGTAACTTAATGTAAAAACCATTTACCTGTAAAGCTTATACTTTCTTCTTCTTCTTCTTCTTCAAAAAGAAGCAAAAAAATATATTTATCTTAAAGTTAACAATATCTTTGGAGACAATAATGGAGATAAAATAGTTTTTCTTGTATTATGTTTTAGGTTCTTGGTGAGGTTAAAAGACTTGTGGGAGAGTACAAGAATGAAGAAATTAGCATTACTATAGTTGGTCATAGTTTGGGTGCTGCTATTGCAACACTAAACGCAGTTGACATAGTTGTTAATGGATTAAACAAGCCTAGAGACCAACCAAACCAGGCGTGTCCTGTGACAGCCTTTGTGATTGCTAGTCCTAGAGTTGGAGATTCGGGCTTCAAAAAGGTCTTTTCTGGGTCAAAAGATCTTCGAGTACTACGCATCCATAATGCCCTAGATATTGTTCCAAATTATCCATTGATAGGATATTCAGATGTGGGCGAAGAATTGGGTATTGACACTACCAAATCCGAGTATTTGAAGAGCCCTGGAAATTTGGAGAATTGGCATAACTTGGAGGCTTACCTGCATGGAGTTGCAGGAACACAAGGATCAAAAGGAGGATTCAAGTTGGATGTTAAACGCGACATTACGCTTGTCAACAAAGGAATTGATGCCTTGAAGGATGAATATTGTATACCGGTATCATGGTGGTGTGAGAAGAACAAGGGTATGGTTCAACAGACGGATGGCTCTTGGAAGTTGATGGATCATGAATTAGATGATGATTTCTAAATCTTCATCTTCATGGTTGAGGCAATTGTTTTTTTTTTTTTTTATGAGCAAAAAGTAATAGTTTATAACAATAGTAAAACATTATAAAAGAAAGGCATAACTGAAGAAAAAGCAAGAGGTAAGATTAAATTTAATTATTTAGTTATTATGGTAAATTTTCTTTCATCAATAAAGTTTCACTTTTGTTGATAAAATATATATATATATATATATAAATATAATATGGTAATATGAATTATAAATTTAATAAGATTCTAATTTCATATTTTAAACGATAAGATAATTGGTCAATAGATGGAATAGTTTCCTGCTTTGATGCGCAAATGGAATAAAATTGAATGAGGAAACTGGTTCTCCCTCTACCTATAAAAGTATATTTAGATCACCCATCAATTATTCTAAATATAACGTATTCTAAATAGGGTCAAGAGAGAAAAACTTTTTTTTCTATTAATATTGATATTAAGTTTATGTTCAATCAATTTTGAATCACTCGAAAGTTTCATATAATTGATCCATGTATGTTATTTATTTTCCGCATTATGTTATTATTTGTAAAAATCATAATAATTCACGATTTTGGACTATAAAAGTTATTATATGCATAACACCATAAAATTATTTACAAGTAGTATTAGAGCATTGGTTAGAAAATATCATGATTTTTTATTAAATAAAATTAATGAATTCAATTTATGTCTGTCATTGATTGTTTGTATATTAATATTAATTGTGAGACATGATTCGAATGGATTACGATTTCAAAATTGTGGTCGAGTTTGATTATGATTTTATTGTGTATATATATTCAATGAATAATATTTATGACTCTACAATGCATACTTTATAATTACACCCATTATTTTGATAAAGTTATGTTATCCATCGGTTTGTGGAACACTTCTGATTGATGACACTTCCATAATCATCTATATTGGTGGGAAAGATTATGTTAAATTATTATTTTTAGATAAATTGAATAAATTAATATTTGAATAATTGAATATTTTGCATGATTTAATTGTCTTTACTGTGAGAAAAGACTTAGTGGGTGATGATCACTATATTGTTTAATTTAGTGTTTGTAAAATTTGAATAATACGTAAAGATATTACATAATGAATTGTTGTTATTCATGTTTTTCTAAATTGTGTTGTCAAATTTTATTGTGGAAAAATACATTAAAATTTTATTGTAATCTTTACAATACCAAGCGTATTACTATTTATGAATCTAACTATAATCTCTAAAAATTATTTTACTATGATGTTGTGACCACTATTATGTATAAGTTTGATTTTTATGAGTGATTTGATGAGATAGAAAAGTATGTATTTTTATATGACATGCAATATGAATTGTGCTAATATTTGTCATGTCTTAACATTATTCTTGTGATTTAGTAATATGCGGTATGATAATTATAATGATGAGTAATTGTGAATAAATCATTATTTATTCTATAATTACCACGCGAAGTTTTTTTTTTTTAATTTTGATTTGAAATCTAAATTATGATACGATTGGTAGTTGTCAAAGTGACCCAATCAGAATAAAGCTGTAGACAACTCATTTTTGACCGACCTTAAGACTCAGACGTCACCGATTGAGCGCTTGGTGATGTTGCATATTGTGCTCGTTCGGAAGTTTCAGAGTCTTAGCTGCGAGCCTTGCCTCCGGACTCTTTTGTGCTTTGCCTCGATTTTCGAACCAGGCCCTATTTTCTCTATTTTCTCTTCCCGAAGGGAGGGAGAGGTCTCGTAGATCTTCTTTCAGTGGCCGTAGGCTACGTTTCGTGGTCGTAGGCTATTTTGCCCGTTTGGAGTCCGGTTTCCGGTTTTTCGGAGCCGTTGGCCGTGTGCCTCGGTTCGGGACCGCTTAACCATCTCCGCTTGCTCCGGTCCTTGGCATACACCTTATTTACTCCCTTTTGAGGGACACTGTGGTCCGAGAGACCAACTTCGTGGTCGAACACCACTTCCGGTGCCTAACAGTCAGTTTTCGGGGCCTCGGGCTGCGCGTTTCGGCCCCCGAACCTTCATTTTGCATCGGTTTGGGATCTTTTTTGGTGGAGACCTTATTTTCACTGTTAGAAAGCTTGTAGGAGGGTGGGAGGCCAGCAATTTTTCTGAAAAGCCAACTTCTTTTTGGTGAAAAGTGGTTCAGCATGAATCCGGGAAGGAGAAAAATCTGCACAGCTTCACCGAAACGGGCGTAACTCTTTGCACAAGAGGAATTAAGATATGAGGCCACCACCATCGGAAAGCTTACTTCCGGGGCTTCATTTTGCACTCAAGAATCTCCTAAGTCCAAGTTCGGGGGGGGGGGAGATGTGGTTGGTTGAAGTCCGGTTTGACCGAATCTGCGCGGCTTCACGGAAAAGGGCATAACTTTTTCTACAGGAGGAATTTTAATGCAAGGATTGCGCCATTGGAAAGCTAACTTCTGGGGCTTCATCCTTGGAGGTGACGGGCCACTTTTTCGCTTTGACCTGGCCGGCCGGCCACTTACCTGGTGGATGACTTTTTTTCCCCTTTTAAACTGGCCGGCCATTTTTGCCCCTGTGAGTGCATTCCAGCCATGTATTTTTTTTTTACACTTCACCCATGTCCGAGGGTTTGACACTTTTGGAGGGAAACTTGACTCATTTTCCCTCCATTTTTTCCCCCCATTTTTCCCCCTCTTTGGCCTATATATCAGCAGCTCCAGCTGCTAGTTCAGGGTTACAAAATTCCCCCCTAAGCCCTTGCCTTGTATCTCTCTTCCTCTATACTCCCAAGCTCAAAACCTTCAAGTCCAACACCCTTCTCTACACCACCACCTAGCACCATACCTCCAACCTCCATTGCAGCCACTTGAAACTGATTTCCAGAGCTAAGGAGGCATCTTTTCTCAAGCCAAGAAGTGTTGAAATTTGGTCTACAAGGGTGAGCAACACTTCCCATCTTTTTAAGCTTATTTTTGCATCCTATCTAAGCCATTCTTGCTTGCTGTTTTGGGCTCCGACCCTAACTGGAACTAGGCTTATTTTGAGCCATTATTCATATTTGTTTAAGGGCCTCTCACTGTTTGAGGCCTCCTTATTGTACTTGCTTCATTATCCCTCTTGTATGCCTATTCCTTGTGTAGTATTTTTGGCCTACGTGTAGACTGTTTTGAGGCATGTCATAAACTAAAAAGTTGCTTATTTTGAGCTCTTATTCAACATTGTTGAAGGGCTCATCACTGTTTGAGGCTCCCATTTGCTACTTGCCTTTATATCTCTCTTTTGGCCATTGAAACAATTCATGAGGGTCCTACTGCTGTTAAAAGATCAAAACAACGTCTCATCTCTTCTTTTGAAACTTTTTTTATGTGAGATGTTGAGACATCTGATAATTTTTATGCCAAACTTAGTGAAAACTTGAATTCCTGTTTCACACTCAGTGAAAAAATTCTTGAATCTAAAGTTGTTGGAAAAATTTTGAGGTCCTTACTTGATAGGTTCCAATCAAAAGTGACAGCTATAGTGGAGGCTTAAGATGTTGAGAACCTCAAGCTTGATCAGTTGGTAGGAAACTTACAGACTTATGAAGCCCACCAGATTTCTAAGAAAATTCAAAAAGATAGTGTGGCTTTTACTAGTGCTCAATGAACTACTAAGAATCCTAAGGTTGAAATTGATCTAGAGTCCGACATGATAGCTATGTTTACCAAATAGTTCAAAAAAAATTTAAAGAAAAAGAAGCCTAATTTCAAGGACTCTAGTTCAAAAGATAAGGGTAATGAAAAATCAAAACCTTTTCCATCAAATTGCATTTCCATACCAAAATCTTCACAAAATTTCATAAACTCATTCGAGTTGTATTCTCTGCCTCTATCATTTCTCAATACTTTCATCAAACAACCACTTTGTCTTTCAACAAGATTTTGAAATTTCTTGAAGATAGAAAAACTTCACTATTTTGTCTCATGAAATACACCCGACTCCATTCTAGTAAAATCATCAACAAAGATAATGAAGTACTTGTTACCTCCATGAGTTGGTGTATCCATAGGTCTGCACACATCGGTATGGACAAGCTCCAATGGTGCTTTAGTTCACCATGCCTTCTCCTTTGGAAATGACTCCTGATGATGCTTTCCAAGTGCATAACCTTCACAAATATGTTGCACTTCATGAATGGTCGACAACCCAAAAACCATATTCTTTTGTTGTAGATGCTTCAAGCTTTGAAAATTCACCAAAAGTCAAATTTTAGTGGCCGAAAAATTTTCCCAACTAAAAAGTTTGGTTGCTAGCTTGGTCGCGGGAAGATTGTCGGGGAAGGTATTGGCGGCTAAAAAATATTTAGTCGCCAAAAGGAAAGGTATTGGTGACTAATTTTTTTTTATTCGCCGAAAGTCTACAGTTGGCGACTAAAAATTTAGTCGCCCAAAGTTTTCAATAAATGTGCTTTTTTGTTTTAGCAACTAAAATATTTAGCTGCTTAAAAGGTGGCATTCCTTTTTGGCTACCAATTTTTTAGTCACTAAAATCATAGTGCTCCTTTTTAGCTACTAATTTTTTAGTCGCCAAAAACTTTCATTTTTTTTTTGCCTACTGACTGTTTAGTCACCAACAAGTTCCCTTTTTATTTTTTGGCTACTAAATGTTTAGTCGCCAAAAGTTCTATTTATTAATTTTTTTTAAAATGCACAAATTGAATATTTTTCATTAATTTCTAAATTATATGCATTCCATTATCCATGCTACCTATAACCTGTACATATACAGAATAATACATCTATCAATTATAATCTAAATCAATTATCAATAATACCCATTTCATTATCAACTATCCAAAAATTTTAACTTATAACATTATATTCCAAATATCATATAAATCCATAACAACCAAGTATAATCCATTTAAATTAAATATTAGATACAAAAACACTGAATTTCCACCACAGCAGATTGTACAAAAATATATGCCTTCCATATACAGAACAAATGCTCTTC